AGCAGAAAGCAACAATCGGTATCCCACCACTTGGCATTTCTGGATATGCATCAGCAGTCATTGGAGGCTATTGCAATCACGACGACTGCTACCACAACAGCCTGTACAGTTTCAATGTCGATACCCTTACTTGGAAGCTACTCTCATCAACCACTCCTCACCATGGCCCGAAAATGAAGCACCGCTGTGGTATGGTACCGATACATTTTGATGGCGAGAGCTACCTTGTATTGATTGGAGGATATGGCCCGGCATATAACAATACGCTTAAGCAACCCGGTGCTCAGTAAGTCAGTATTGCCATGAAAATCTTGTTACGGCTCAAATTTCAGTCTGTCCGTGAATATTGTAGAATTGAAGAGTCTTCAAGTGGCATTCCCCTCCGATTTACATTACTCTCCTGCCCTGGAGCCTTCCCAATTGATACACAATCTTGAGTTACGGTGTTGCTATTAATGCCAGTGGACAGATTATAACGACCAAATCAATCAGTCACGCTGTCAAAGTAATGGATAGGGAGCTAAAGACAGTTAAGACTTTTGGCGGTGAAAAAAGTTGCACCAATGTCAAGTTCTCTTACCCACATAGGGGTAGGACCAGGGGGGACAGGAGGGGCTTAAGCCCCCCCCCCCAACTTTCATTGAAGGGGGGCTTAGCCCCTCCAACTTTAAGTGATGTGCATGTATTACTATTATCAACACTATAGACCCCTTTAGGCGAGAATTAGTTTGTGATACCGTATATACAAAGAAATAATATTGAACGGATTTTGTCCGCCATGTTTTACGTCAAAGTTATGCAGAGTTCCAATGGCTGATGTGCAAAGTAGAGCTGTTTTGCCAATAAAACTTTTGTTGTGCTGAACTCAGGACTAGGAGATGCTTCATATCAACTGTTCTTTACTATAGCAAGATATTTTGAAGACTTAAGAAGTCTGGGAGAGCCAGAAGGATCAGTTCTTGACTCTCTGTCACAGCCTAAAGAGGAAAACAGGCTCATACAACAAGAGTATTGCACTATACTTCCTAGGTTGGCTCTCTTGGCATCTTTCTTGACTCTAGAATAGTTTTTAGCTTCAAAATGTAGTGACCAAGATCTCCAGGACACAGAAAGCACTTGCTGCTTGACGTAAAACATGGCGGCCAATTATTGTATGTGGGCGTATACCGTAACTGAGATATAATGATATTCATTGCAAAAGTAATGATATTCACAAGCTGCTACTTCTCGCCGAAAGGGGTCTATAGACTTTAGTTAAGGTATTCATTATATGTGTGCATATTGTGTGATGATTTGATTCATAAAACATTTAATACACTATCTTAACTTCTAAGAACACACACTCTTATTTTTTTTTTTCAGAAATACTCAAGGTTCTACTTCTTTATTTAACAACTCTGTTAACATCAGCTTCAGCTAAGCATAGATTTTTGACATTAAGGACATTAAAAACTACTTGCACTCCACAATGTCACAAGAGCATCTTAATCATGTAGTTATTTTGCATACACACAAAGACAGATGATTTACACATTGAAGACATTGCAAAGGAATTTGTTACATTTAATGTAACAAACATAATACACGAATAATAATAATACCTTAGCCCCCCCCCAACTTTTAGTTTGTTCCTACCCCTATGCTTACCCACGAGGTGTCACAATCAGTCCAGATAACTTCACTCTAGTGACAGATAATAATGGGTACACAAGATATCTATAAACGGACATGACAGTGGGTCTTTAGCTGAAAAGGGAAAGAAACCGGGCCAGTTCAGTACACCTAAAGATATAATTGTTGAAGTATATTAGAATATTCACTGAAAAAACTTGTACTGTGTATTTACCATATAGCTTGAAATTTTTGTGGAATGACGGTAAATTTCGTGGTTTTCGTGGTTACGGGCTGCCCACGAAATTTAAACCCATGAAATCATTGAAGTGCCATCCCCTTACAGGCTATGTAAACTGTCAGCCACGAAAATTAAACCACGAATTGCCCCACTAGGAGCAAACCACGAAAATATCGACCCACGAAAATATCAAGCTATAAGGTAATTAATTGTACCTGTAACCAATTGTTTACATTATTATATAGGCGGTAGCCTATATGTAGGATTGAGGTTGGTTTTTCAAGATGGCGGCCGTTTTTATGATTTTCAAACACTTATAACTCTTTTATCTTACCTTGTACGGCCTTATAAATGGCTTAGATGAGCTCTCCTTCACTGAGCGATTCTCCTAGTATCTTTAAAGTGGACTGTAATATAGCGGGAGCGTTTCTGGAGAATAGGCCCAAATTCAAATTTCTGCAAAATTCTTCAGACTTTTTCTTCTTCTTTCTTTCATCTTTCTTCTATCAACACGGAAATCTTTTAAACCAGGGAACCGCTCGAGTTGGCTTTTACATCATTCCTTTGTGCTTGGGTCAAGGACTGGACAAGTAGTTTCAAAAAGAAGCAAGGACAGAGAAATTGAGAGAATAAAATGAAAGCCAAAATCCAGCTGCTGACACTGCGTGGGTTTGTGGTTTGACGCCATTTTAATTTATGCGCACGTGATCAGCATGAAATGATTAACCTAACCACACAATCATAACAGAATGTAATAATAAATTTAAGAAAAAAGAATGGAAACAAGTAAATAAAAAA